ACACTGGTGCGCTAGCTGGTGCCGCTGGTGGAAAATCCCGACATCTGCCGCTGCGATGCCCAAGATCCATCGACGACCGTGTATTGGTCATGCCAAAATACTGCGTAGAAGCGTCTTTCAACTTCTTTAAACTGGCCACGCTCACGGTGAATCGCTTTTCACGGTGCACGTCTCGAAGACCAGACTTCCGAGTTACTAAACCACCTCTACGCTTGGGAATAGCACCAGTAGATCGCAAAACTGCATCTGTTTGAGTCACAACACTTTGGTCAGCAACAGCATTCCCGAAAGAAACACCCCAGCTTGCCTTAAACTGATCAATTCTTGCTTTGGAGGTGCTCGGCAGTTGCTTTTCCCGAAGCTTCAAATCATTAAAAAACTTTTCAATGTACTGGAGGTTGTCATGAATAAACTTTTCTTCCTCCTCTTTATCAAGTACACCTGCGTCATCAGGAACCGTCGCCTCAGCCATGGTCTTGTTGCCGTACATTAACCAATAAACACAGCACTAGATGCGAAGGAGTCTCAGTTCACTAATATCACAATATGCGGCACGGATGTTCACTTCACTTAGAACACTGAAAACATGGCTTTATACTTCATCACATATGGCTTTACACAATTACGTTAAACACGAAAGTCACGGCACCATTTATGCTAGGGACGCACTCCAACAAAAAGGAAAACAAAGCCATCTTCGTCCCTGCATTATTCAGCCAAGTGATCATATAGGTCCATCCATTAGCCACAGTGAGAACAAGTTTTCTTAATAATCTTTATTGCCAAGCATGAACATAAGAACTCGTGACAAACTGTTACTGAGATGGTCACTTGAATCAAGACTATTACTGAGACTCCTGAAATAAATAAACAAACAAGAATAAATATCTAGCAAAGAATCGACATGGACATAAATATTGATCATAATAAGAAGCACGAAATTTGAGCATTAAAATTGACACAAATATTTACACAAATGACAAAAGATAGTAATCCTAGCATCCACTGTTTCCACTGTTCCTATTTACACGAGACGTACCTTACACATCGACGGCAACCACAAGACTAAACTAGGTTCCGCTATTCGGATAAGGTCACGTCAAACTCTCTCTAAAACAAAATGAAAAATATATATCCTATCCAATCCCTTACAATATTATATCATATAATTTAATATTATATTATAAAATATTATAGGAAGTTTCAGCTCGTGGTGAGCTGGAATACGCAGCTGAGTCTCCATATATATACAATAAGTATACAGCTGAGTCTCCATATATACAATAAGTATACAGCTGAGTCTCCATATATATACAATAAGTATACAGCTGAGTCTCCATATATAAAGTATAAAATAAAGTGAATTATTTCGTCTCGTATATCTCTACATCGATGCTTTTATTCATTTAGATGTCGATGTAAAAGCAAACGACTCGAGAGTTAGAAATGATTAAATTTTATATACTTATATTTATATTAGTTTCCCCAAGTCTGATTTTAGAGAACTGTCCGGCAAAGAAAACTTATCGTATCCAACTGACTAAAGATGAAAATTTTAAGATATTACATATATGATATTACTTAATTATTTATTAAGTGATATTATATTTATTAAATTTATGATATTAAATTAAATCGTTGAATTTGAAATTTCAAATTAAATTAATATTTAATTTTACATTAAAAATTGTGATTAAATTTTAAAATTATAATTAAAAATTTGTGATATTACTAATATTGAGCGTGTAAATGATTTTTGGTATCGACTAGTATATCATATTTGTTTTAGCTTCACAAGTGAACGATGTTTCTATCATTTCATCAAAGTTAGGTTTATCATCGAATCAAATTCAGACTCAATAGACATAACCCAAATGTGTTGATAATGTTGATAAATTCAAACGGTATATCATTTTCAAGGATGATTAGTTTCTTGCGAGATGACTTCGGAAGGAAAATTATTAATTATTTATGAATAAAAACCATTTTGGAAGTCCAGCTCAATGATGCAAAATTCGCATTACTTACTAATATGTTGTCTAAACAGAAATGTGTTCTCACTATGTTAACTTCTAATTAGTTATGATGATATGAGATATATCAGGGCAGGGTGGCCCAGTGGTTACAGTCCAGAGTATCAGAACACTGAGTTGCGAGTTCGAGACCACAACAAGCTGTGAATATTCTGTGATGTTAAGAACAGGCGACAGGCCTACGGCCTAATAAACGCCAATTAATTATTATTATTAGAGCAAACAGCCTAGTTTGCTTCAGTGTAATGATTCAATTATTAAACTTGTTAAATAATGGAAGCAATATCCTGATATTTAAGGTGTATCGCAATTCAAATTAAGTCTAAATAATGTAACACAGTCACTGTATCCACAGTCTTCCGAGCATCATTATTCGGAACGTTTTCATTAATTATCAAGTTAATTACCTTTGAAAGGATGATAGAAATATTATTTATTTATTAGATGGAACAAATTTGATTTAATGATCAATACTAATGGACATTTATACGTTAAATTTATTACTGATATATTTGTGAGATCAGGAAAAAAAATCTAAATTTTTCACGCTCTTTTAGAATAATTTTTGATAACTAAGGTTATAGTGAACTAAGAGAACTATAATTTTTTCAAGCTATTTTAGAATTTAATGGTCATTATTATAGGATTTCATGTGTTTTTTATACATTAGAGTCTATGACTAGTTGTATTCGTCATAATTCCGAGGGAAGTAATTCACCTTCCTACATAAGAGAACTTCCACTTTCTACGAGTCTACGCCCCGCACTCATCTTTTCAATGACAAGTGCTAGGAGCATCAAAAATAGTTAAAATATCAATCATGAAAAATTAATTAGACGCAGCTGCGTGCACACCGACCCGCCACGACTGAGCACGTGCGTTTTTGAGCTATAACTAAGCTATTTCACAACGGCAGCCAAACCTCAGCCGCCATTGTCGACTGTAGGTATATTCATTAACCTTTATCACAACGAGCACATACATCATGCATGTGTGTGTTTCAGTGCAGGAAATTGCTGAACACGAAGCATTTTTTTCTCTGTAATATGTAATAATTTTCTTGTCTCGACCGCGTGATATATGCAACCATCAGTCGGATGTGCTGCGATGCCGGCAAGTTCCATAATAACGCACAATCATGGTTCTTGCATCACAGTACGTTCACGAATTGTAGATAGCAGCCAAAATTATAGTGATACTCTCGTGCGGTGACCAGCAACAATCGCATTTTGTAGGTAAGCAAAATTGAGACCGTGTCCTAGCGGTCGTAGCACTTGGCCGCGATCGTTTGTTGCTTTGATATTTGCAAATCAATTTTGAATTTAAGTTAGTTTCACCGTGCAAAACGTTTCTTAACATGGAAGAAATTTTTCCGAAAGAAAACAAAAATCTTGCAGGAGATACTCTTTCATTTGTTGCTGCTGCGATTAGCGGTGAGGAAATGAAGTTTTTTTAATCTTATAATATAAAGTCTCTGTGAAATTTCTTTTTTTATAAGACTTGAATATTTTCTTATTGAAAATTATAGGTACTACTTAAGTAATTGCAGAGTCGAAATGGAAACTCCAGTATATTCAATTAAAAATTATATATACCTTTGAAGTTTTATTTGCCATCTGAAATATTGTTTTTTGTTTCTATTCTTTAAATAAATATATTCAAAATCTTTAATTTAATATATTCAAAATATTGGTTTTATTGTTTTATCATCGCGCTTTATTCGCACCAACAATCCACTACACTCGTGAGACGTGGCTATCAATCCTACAAGCGTGGAGTTATACTAAGTCTTGGACAATTTTACGGCCGGTCTCTAAAACTTTCTCCGGTCTCCACAAGTTACGCCCGGTCTCTAAACTTTCTCTGGTCTCCACAATTTTCCGGCCGGTTTCTAAAACTTTCTTCGGTCTCCACACTCTTACCGCCGGTCGCTAAAACTTTCCACGGTCACCACAATTTTCCGGCCGGTTTCTAAAACTTTCTTCGGTCTCCACAATTTTCCGGCCGGTTTCTAAAACTTTCTTCGGTCTCCACACTTTTACGGCCGGTCTGTAAATCTTTCTCCGGTCTCCACAATTTTACCGCCAGTTTCCAAAAACTATTTTTCAAACTAACAAACGCAGCTCAATGAAACTTTGTACACGTATTCATTAGGACCTAACGGTGATGTTTAGCTCGTGAAACTTTTTTTCGATTACTCTTTTGTTCGTGAGTTATATGGCAATAGGTTACATCCACTGTTGAACGTATGAATTAACATTTTCATGAATAATTCAAACTTTTTGAGAAGATTCAAGTGTAAATTTCTGTTTTACTTTGGCTTCATGATCGAAACTTCACCGCAGAGAGGTTAGTAATTTATATTCAAAATTTCGTTCAAATCTCCATTATTTTAGAAGAAATATCTCGGTCACTGTGAATTTCGACCCGATTAATCGTATAACTCACGAATGAAGGTGAAATGTAAATAGTTTTCGTGAGCTAAACATCCCCGTTAGTTCCTAATGAATACATGTACAAAGTTACATTGAGCTCCGTTCATTAGTTCATAGATATTCCTTGGTCACTACGTTCGGAGACCGGCCGCGAGTCCGGACGTAAAATTGTCCGACACACCAAACGGATTAGGGACTATATTTTCTTTATCGTTACTGAAGAAAAGTAAAAAAATTACTTATAAATCTTGATGCGATGAGATTCATTGTGGATTAAAATGGTATTTATTGTGAAATTTTATGACTTTAAACATCATCAGGACGCTGGGTGGCCCGGTGGTTACAGTTCGCTGTACCAACATTAAAGCAGTGAGTTGTGGGTTTGATCCCAGCTACCTGCTACAGTTCTGGCCGAGCGGTTAAGCACAGTAAATTGGGAGCAACGAGTTACGTGTTCGAGACCCGCAACAAGCTGTAAATAATGAATTAATAATGAATAATGAATGTGAATAATGAATTAATGAAGCAACGGTTATCATGGTCATTTTAATACAAGAAATGTATTGTAATTCATACAGTGAATGAAGCCTCGACTTAACTAAATCAAACAACACATTTATACAAGCTTAATACAAGCGACCATGTAACGTGAATATTACGTACACGTTCGTTGTCATGATATATATTCACCCTGAACATGGGTCATGTCAGAAATGAGTCATTATGACCCACGTAGCAACAAAAGATGAGTCACATTGACGCGTAGAACAGCGCGTCATGGAACAGGTTGATGAGTCATGGGTCCGTAATGTTTCGTTCAGTTTTACAGTTACGTCCAGTTTCACAATGTTTAGTTCAGTTGTACAATGTTTGGTTCAGTTGCAGAATGTTTGGTTCAGTTGCACAATGTTTAGTTCAGTTGTACAATGTTTAGTTCAGTTGTATCATGTTTCGTTCAGTTGTACAATATTTCCTTCAGTTGTACAATGTTTCGTTCAGTTGCACAATATTAGTTCAGTTGTACAATGTTCAGTTCAGTTTTACAATATTTAGTTCATCTTCACAATGTTTCGTAAGTATTTAATGCAATAATATAGAGAATATGACAGCATATCCCTTTTTACAGGCAATAAATGTATATAAATCCCAGTCCCCTGAAAGTCGCCAGAAGTTCACAAGTCCAGAGGCGCCATGTTTATCAAACCAAAACAATAATAATCATACATGTTGACTGCGTTGAACACCTGATATATTAATTAATAACTTAGTTACACAGCAATTCGCTCAAGACAGAATCATGAATACAGCCAGCAAATCGCAAGATCAACGATGTTAAAAGATAATTTCAATTTTCCTGCACAAATGAGGGCCTTAATTTCGAGTGTCCAGCGCCCGCCACACACGACATTACAACACAAGAGGACTTCAGTGGACTGGGACGCCTGGGACAAATGCTGGGACGCCGGGACAAGCGGCCTGAGGAGCGGTGGACGCCTGGGACAAATGCTGGGACGCCGGGACAAGCGGCCTGAGGAGCGGTGGACGCTGGGACAAATGCTGGGACGCCGGGACAAGCGGCCTGAGGAGCGGTGGACGCCTGGGACAAATGCTGGGACGTCGGGATGTCCTTACAAGTATATTGTCCCACAAAGGCATGCTGTCCCCAGGGACACGCGGCCTCCAGATACAGGTCCTCCCCAGGGACACGTGGCCTCCAGATACAGGTCCTCCCCAGGGACACGTGGCCTCCAGATACAGGTCCTCCCCAGGGACACGCTCCCCACAAGACGCCTCCCCAGGGATACGCTCCCCACAAGACGCCTCTCCACAAGACGCCTCCCCACAAGACGCCTCCCCACAAGACGCCTCCCCACAACACGCCTCCCGACAAGACGCCTCCCCTAAACCCTAAACAAATCCGAAGTTTTTAGTCTTAATGGCGAGCAGGAGCTTAGTGTTGAGGATACTCCTGGAGGAGTAGAGGGGAATGTAGAGCCTGCTGATGCAGGTGTTGGCGGTGGGGAGGTGGGTGTCGTCCGCGGGTCTGATGGTGACGGAGGGCAGGGGCTGGAAGCCCTCCTCCGAGGCGGGCAGGGCTGGAGACCCTGTCCAGAAGTAGACCAAGTCTTGCTTCTCCTGAGTGGTCATCTTCTCTACGATGGTCCACAGCCATCGCTTGAACCTGCACATAAACTCTCAGTCACTTATCGCAGTATGACTGCCTTACTATTGCTTAGTATCGCTTACTATTATCATTAGAGTATCATTACACTAGTAATCTAATACTATTAGCATTGAATGAAATTCGCTCAAGTGGAATCAACTGCACCCAGTACCTACATAAGAAGCAAAATTAATGAATATCTCAGCAGTGATAAAGCATCAGTGAGAACGACCGCCCAAGACTTCCATTGCGAAGTCAATGAGTACTGAAGTTAAATCAAAAGTTCATCACATTGAACAGCTATAAAGTTGTTCTTCTCAGTCGGCGCCAGTTGTCACGTGTCCTGATCAGTCGGCGCCAGTTGTCCCGTGTCCTGATCAGTCGGCGCCAGTTGTCCCGTGTCCTGATCAGTCGGCGCCAATTGTCCCGTGTCCTGCTCAGTCGGCGCCAGTTGTCCCGTGTCCTGATCAGTCGGTGCTGATGTGGCCACCACACCACACCACCACCACCACACCAACCCACCACCACCACACTACACCACCACCGCCACACCGCACCACACCTCACCTGTTAAGCCTGTCGCTGCTCTCGGCGCTCTCGTCGTTGAAGGACGTGTACCAGATGAGGGTCGTCACGTTGATCTCCCCCACGCCGTTCAGCAGCAGCCGCAGGTCCTCCGGCGTCAGCCCCTCCAGGGTACTTGGGGGCAGCACGTCCAGTACCCCGTCACGCAAGCTCTGCAGCGCCTGTGGCAGGAGTACGTTATTGTACAGGGTATTGGGACCCGAGGGCGGGGTGACCTACCTAGCGACGACCCGGAGACGGTGGACGACAAAGGCGGCGCATCAGCGTGACCGGGGACTAGGAAGTCCCGAACTCATCATAAGGTCATAAGGTACGTTGGGGTACAGCAGCACTCACCCTGAGCTGTGCATCCTGTAGGAGGCGTACAGCTGCACTCACCCTGAGCTGTGCACCGTGCATCCTGTAGGAGGCGTACAGCTGGACGTACTCGCAGACGTTGCTGGGGGTGACGGGGATGTGGCGCCCCCCGGGGACCAGCTCCACGCTGCCGCCCCCTTCCTCCGCTCCCTGGTCGATGCTGCGGGGATGAGGGGGTTAGGGGTGGCAGGGAGGTCGGGGGTTACTGAGTGTGGGGGTGTGGGGGGGTTAGAAGAGGATGAATAGGGGGATTAGAGGCCAACAGTGCCCCAATTTGAGGCCCAGGGAGCCAGAGTATAAGGAATACAGGGACCCAATCTAAGGCCCACAGGGACCCAACCTAAGGCCTACAGGGACCGAACCTAAGGCCTACAGGGACCCAATCTAAGGCCTACAGGGGCCCAATCTAAGGCCTACAGGGGCCCAATCTAAGGCCTTCAGGGGCCCAATCTAAGGCCTACAGGCGCCCAATCTAAGGCCTACATAGGCCCAATCTAAGGCCTTCAGGGGCCCAATCTAAGGCCTACAGGCGCCCAATCTAAGGCCTACAGAGGCCCAATCTAAGGCCTACAGGGACCGAACCCAAGGCCTACAGGGACCCAATCTAAGGCCTACAGGGCCCAACCTAAGGCCTACAGGAACTTAACCTAACGCCTACAGGGGCCCAACCTAAGGCCTCCATGGCCCCATTCTAAGGCCCCCAAGTCCACACTCTACGCCCCCACTCACCAGAAGGTCAGCCCCATGCTGGCAAAGTCCTGACTCAGCGTAGTCAGCTTGGGGCTGTCAGCATCCAGCACGGTGAGCTGGACCAGCTGACGCAGAGACTCGTACAGCGAACCATCGAAGAAGGCGAGGTCGTGGAACCGCGGTTCGTGGCCCAGGATGAACTTGAGCACGTGCCGGTTCAGGGAGATGGGACACAGCTCGTTCTGCAGCAGGCACAGTCCCAGCAGACGTCCCACGTTCCTGGGACACAAAAGCGGTTCAGGGACCACAAGGGGGTGGAGGGGGCAAAATAACTAAAGGGTGGGGGGCGCCTGGCGGGGGGAGTAATACCCCCGCATGCCGGGCTGGTAGAAGAGGGGGGCGCTGCTGGGGGGGGCGCCCAGCCCCCCACCAGGGGCGGGGCTCGAGTCGTCGCCCACGTCGTCGCTGGCGTCGTCCATATCTGCGGGGGGCCGGGGTTCAATTAAAATTACTTAAAATTAAAATTAAATTAAAATTAAATAGGGGGTTTAATTAAAACCCGGGCTTTTAAAACCATCAAGAATTCTGCCTCCCGAATAGCCTCGGGGTCTCCTTAAATAAACCCTGTTTCCCACCCGCACAGTGAAGCTGATGTCTTACACGTGGGGCCGAACACCCACGCCTTACGATCGTACCATCCCAGCTACCCTATCGTCCCCCAGACATCGGGGCCACACCATCCCAGCTACCCTATCGTCCCCCAGACATCGGGGCCACACCATCCCAGCTACCCTATCGTCCCCCAGACATCAGGACCCCGTCCCATGAAGCTTCACGCTTCAGACCCGCTTCCTCCCTTCAGTCTCTCACCTGCTGGAGGGGTCCCTCCCCCCCCCCGACTCCTACTCCTACTCCGTTGCCCTCAGAACCCTGCACAGCTCTGCTGTCTCCTCCTACCTGTCCTCAGCCGTTCCTAGCAAGGTGTTGCTGACCCTTGTCCCCTCTGTCTCATCCAGCAAGCTATTCCTCCCCATGAGGAGGGATATGGGAGTGGCCAAAAGCGCCCTTTCCCAGCCCCTGCAGGGCGGCCAAAAGCGCCCTTTCCCAGCCGCTGCAGGGCGGTCAAAAACACCCTTTCCCAGCCCCTGCAGGGTGGCCAAAAGCGCCCTTTCCCAGCCCCTGCAGTGCGGCCAAAAGCGCCCTTTCCCAGCCCCTGCAGTGCGGCCAAAAGCGCCCTTTCCCAGCCGCTGCAGTGCGGCCAAAAGCGCCCTTTCCCAGCCGCTGCAGGGCGGCCAAAAGTGCCCTTTCCCAGCCGCTGCAGGGCGGCCAAAAGCGCCCTTTCCCAGCCCCTGCAGGGCGGCCAAAAACACCCTTTCCCAGCCCCTGCAGGGCGGCCAAAAGCGCCCTTTCTGCTGCAGGGCGGCCAAAAACACCCTTTCCCAGCCGCTGCAGGGCGGCCAAAAGCGCCCTTTCCCAGCCCCTGCAGGGCGGCCAAAAGCACCCTTTCCCAGCTCCGCTCTGGCTACTCATCGCGTTAACACGCAAAATAAACAAAACCCGCATTATTTTAGCTCAAAATTTTAGGGAAACTAATGCCTGGACTAAATTCCTACATCACCCGCATTGGTGCAGCTAATAACTCTCTCTGTCCCTTTCTAAAAAAAGTGTGGTGGTGTGGTCCATTGCCCCACGCAGTGGACCACACCACCCATCACCTCTTCAGCTGCCCTCATCTACCCACCGCCTTGCCGTGGTGGCCTCATCTACCCACCGTTGTCGAGGCGCGGGCTCGGTAGAAGTAGATCGATGGCCTCATCTACTCTGTTCCTGAGGGCCTCGTCTGAGGCGCTGAGGAGCAACAGCTGCGCAGGGCTCAGCTCCAGCAGCATCCCCGTGACTTTCCCCGCGAGGGCCTGCGGGGAAATGCGGGAATGAGAGAGGGACTAACTAGTCAGTAACTAGTGACTAACTAGACATTAACTAGACCTTAGGCATATCAAGTGAACTAGACATCAACGCCCTTTCCAATAAGGGACTGATTCTGAATGATTGAGACTAGACTGAGGCCAATAAGCCTCATGACTGGGCCTCAAAACTGAGGCCAATAAGGGTATGTGTCTAACATACCCTCAGACACTCACATATATACGACTCCTCACTACCCCACACACACTCACCATATCGATATCTACGTGACGTAACAAGAACATTATCTACGTGACGTAACAAGAACATTATCTACGTGACGTAACAAGAACATTATCTACGTGACATAACAAGAACATTATCTACGTGACGTAACAAGAACATTATCTACGTGACGTAGCAAGAACATTATCTACGTGACGTAGCAAGAAAGCTGAACGGAAAGATTTCAGTTCAGCTTCCTGATATATATGTCCTCGATATATACTATGTCCTCGTGAGTCAACCTTACATAGTTCAACCATGGTCCGGACTGCCTCAGTCTGGACTGAAAAAGCCAGTTTTTCAGGAGTCAGTCGCGCACAGTCTCATAGTGGAAAAGGGACTTAGAGCCGCGACTACCCTAACAAAATTCGGGGTATGCTTCAGCCTCTGCCCCAGAGTCGCTATGTTCGCGTAAGAGTTATTCTGGGTCAGTTGGCCAACTGATCGCGATCAGCGACTAGTCAGAACCTCCTGGCCGACTTTATGGTATCCTGAGAGTAGGGCAAGAGTTGGCAGAATAAGTACCAGGCGCTTGTAGCTGTCTGATTCGGGGACCGGAATGTAGACCGAAAAGCGGACATAGAGAAGCTGATTTACGTTCGGTCCGAGTCCTAGGCGGTTTCTAATTCAGGCTCGCCACCAGTTAAAAATTTTGATAGGAAAGTGAACTAGACAATAGGCCGTAACTAGTTCCTAACTAGTCCTTAGGTCCTAACTAGAGCTTAGGTCCTAACTAGAGCTTAGGTCCTAACTAGACCTTATGCCCTAACTAGACCTTAGGTCCTAACTAGACCTTAGGTCCTACCTAGACCTTAGGTCCTACCTAGGCCTTATGCCCTAACTAGACCACTAGACCCTAGTGTACACACCGCGGCGCTGTAGACCCCCTGTAGGCCGCCACTCACGGGTCTGAGCGCCTGCACTTTAGGGTAGAGGGTCTGGGCGAGCTGCTGCACGTTGGGCGGCAGGTGATCTGCAGACCCTGGCTGGTCAGGGCTGTAGGGTCTGGCGTCCACGCTCAGGGTCTTCTTAGGGAGCGCCCTCAGCAGTCTGCTGCTGCTGAGGGAGGCGCTGCTAGCATTGCTGCCGCTGCGACGCCCTTTGTAGTGGCCGTACATTGAGTACCGCACTGAGGCCAGGTCCTGAGGACACAAAGGGCGCCTCAGTGGGGCCAAGTCCTGAGGGAACAAAGGGCGGCTTAGGGAGGACAGGTCCTGAGGACACAAAGGGCGGCTTAGGGAGGACAGGTCCTGAGGACACGAAGGGCGGCTTAGGGAGCTGAGGCCAAGTCCTGAGGGAACTAAAGGCGGCTTAGGG